AAGTCAGACGGTTAACGGACTGAGCCACCCAGGCGCCCCTCCCCCACTTACCTTTTTAACATAGGTTGTGATCTTTAGGAAATTTCACTCCTGTCACCTGTGTGCTTCCACACATTTCACTTTTTAAAAAAAGTTTGAGGGGCGCTTGGGTGGCATAGTCGGTGAAACGTCTGACTTTGGCTCAGGTCAGGATCTCAACTTTGTGGGTTCTAGCCCTGCATCAGGCTCTGTGTGGACAGCTTGGAGCCTAGAGCCTGCTTTGGATTCTGTGGCTCTCTGCCCCTCCCCTGCGCGCACTCTCTCTCCCTCTCAAATATAACATTTTAAAAATGTTAAAAAAAAAAAAATAAAAAAATAAAAGTTTGGGGGGGTGGAGGGAGGGGCAGAGAGAGAGAGACAGGAAAGATTCCTAAGCAGGCTCTGTGCTGGAAGTGCAGAGCCCAAGGCAAGGCTCGAACCCATGAACCATGAGATCATGACCTGACCTGAAAACAAGAGTTGGAGGTTGACTGAGCCACCCAGGTGCCCCTACACATTTCACTCTTATGCATGTAGACTTTATCTTAGTCTGTATCTTTTACGGTGTACATTAATTTGTCAATTACTTCAACCTTTTTCATTTTTTGAGATGTGAAGATGTTGACTTTCTAGTCTTCTTTCTTTTGATTTAGAAACTTTCTTTTAAAAATGTTTAATGTTTTTTTAAAATGTCAGGTTTTTCTTTGTTGCTGTCTTTTCTAATCTTAATTTTATACTTTCTAATAGTCCAATGCAGGAGGTGAGGGATCCCTTTCCCCCACCCTCTACTCGTTTTCTGGGTCCTCCACTCTGGAGTGAAATAACTCAGCTGACAGAAGGATCATAAGCTCCACCTTGTAGAACACATTTGTTTTAATGGAAGAATTATTAGATCCTTATGAGAGGAACTTACAGTTCTAAAATCTCCATTCTTCAATATGTATGTATGGCTATCATATTTTGGGCGGAAGCCATCATATGTTTGCCAGTAGGAACAAATGAGCAAAGTCACACCAGGGAAAGGGCTCCCTTGGCCTTAGGAGTTGGTGATAACTTCATGAGGGCCATCCAGGAGTATTATTCCAGCAAAGTTATGGGCACTATCTTACATTAGTAGACTTTTCCAGCTTACTGTTACAAAACAGAATCTACTTCCCTCCTGAGAGGACTAGGGAGGACCCTTCGGGTGTAGCCACCCCAGCAATTCCAGCATTCTGGGCCAAAGGAATGCTGGCTCTAAGAATTGGGGCTGGGGGCTCCTGGGTGGCTCAGTTAAGCATCCAACTTCACCTCAGGTCATGATCTCACGGTTCCTGGGTTTGAGCCCTGCATGGGGCTCTGTGCTGACAGCTCAGAGCCTGGAGCCTGCTTCAGATTCTGTGTTTCCCTTTCTCTCTCTCTCTGTCCCTCCCTCACTCATGCTCTCTTTCAAAAATAAACATAAAAAAAAAATTTTTTTTTTTTTTTTTAAAGAATTGGCTTCTGTTGTGCCCCACTGGGAATGTTAGGACCTGTAGTGGGCAATTGGGACTGCACAGACTAGAATTTGACAGATGAATTTCACTTTCCCATTTTGGACTTTGTCACCTGAAAGACAGGGGACATAAAGCTCATTTCCTTTATCTTTTGACCATCACCTTCAGAGAGAACAGAAGTCTTTTTACCTTTTCAGGGTTGATCCAGGTTTATTTAGATGGTGTCTTGGTCAGAGCCTAGATCACTGTTCATACTCCTTTTGACAGCTCCACCCCAGCCCACCTATCTGTTGGAGATCCCCCCCCCCCCTTTTTTAACATTTAATTTCAGAGAGAAAGAGCATGCACACCAGCATGTGAGTCTGGGAGGGTGGAATCTCAAGCAGGCCCTGAGCTGTCAGCCCAGAGCCTGATGTGGGCTCAACCTCACCAGCCGTGAGATCATGACCTGCACCTAAAACAGGAGCTGGACACTTAACTGAGACACCCAGGCACCCCTGGAGCCCTTTTCAAGCATATTTTTTTCATTCCATGAGGATGAATTTACCTCTTCTTTAAGAAATAGATTTCACTTTTGAATAATCAAACACATTTTCCACTCTCAGGAAGTGATGCCACCCAAAGCCCTTTGCTGATTTAGACAGGCCAATGAGCCTCCCAATTGATGGCTCTTTGGCTATCCTGCCCAAAAAAACCCACTCCAGTGAAAACAACCCCAGTTATCAGCTATGAAACTGGAAGGTGAGGTGGTAGACACCCAGACCCCAGCTAGTTGTTTGGCTCAGTTCTGCTAACTCAAACTGATGTTAACATCCTATTCTTTAGGAGTTCTAATCTTTACTTAGCTTCTGCAACTCTACTGTAGACTGATGGTCATGGGCTAAACTACATTAGGTCTCTATATAATCCTTGCCAGTAGAATCAATGGTTCCCTACTGGGATTTCTAGGGAGGTAAAATACAGGTATCTTAGTCCCCTTTTTAAAGCCTTTTCTTTTAAAAGGTTTGGCACCCTTTTGGTTAAGCTAGAAAGATAAAACCTTTTTAAGTGCAGTTTTGAGTTTTTTCAGAATAATCACCAGCTCTCGTGCTCTTTTGTAGTCAATTCCCATCCACACCCCAGGAAGCAATTCAGGTGTCTGCTATCGCTGGTTTCCTCTTTTCCAGAATGTTATGTAAATGCCTTGAGGTTGGCTTTTCACTTAGCATAATGCTTCGGGGATGCATCCATGTTGTTTTTAATCAGTACTTCATCTTTTTTATTCCTAGGTAGTATTCCATTGTATGGATGCACCAATTTATACATTCACCAGTTGGAAGGCTATGTTGACTTATTTTTGGTGACTGAATAAAAGCAGCTACATTCACATACAGGTTTGTGTGAACATTTTCAGTTCATTTGAATCAATTCCTAGGAAGGGTGATTACTGTATCACAGGGCATTTAATTTTGTCAGAAACTGTCAAACTTTTCCAAAGTGACCTTACCATTTTGTTAATTCCTCCAGCAGTTTCTCGGCATCCTAACCAGAACTTGGTATTTTTCATAGGTAGGTCATTTTGCTTTTTACATTTTCCTACTGATTTATGATAACATCTTTTCATGTTTGTTTTGAAATCCATTTATTTTCTTTGGTGAAGTGTCATGTTCAAATCTTTTGCCAAATTTTTTTTTTTTTTTAAAGTTTTGAGTTCTGGGCACCAGTCACTTACCAGGCACATTCTTTCAAGCCTGTACCTTTAAAGACTTGGTACCATTTTTGCTTAAGATAGAGACAAAGCACTTGCTTATTGCAGGAGGTAGATATTACTTTGATTTGGGAGTAACCTTACTAGATACTTGGCCCTGCTAATTACTGGACTAGTTGCATTTGGTAGATGCCTTTCAACTTTTTAATACAGCCACTCTCACTCTGAACTTGCTGTAGGTGAGTTCATCTCTGGGTCATTCCCTCATTTCTTTCATTCATCCCAGCTTGGTATTGTGTGTGCCTTTTCTCCAGGCTAAAATTTCTTCCTTTGCTCACTGTGAGCAAATGTGTAGCCATGTACCCAGACGTAGGTCCTTCTTAGATTTCCACATGATTATCAACCCTGTACACACTGAGGTTTTTGCTTCTCTCTCAGTCAACCCCCAGTGAGGCATGGAGCTATTAATAGTGAAGTTTAAATATTTTGTGGCCACTATTGCTGGTACTTGTTGCTAAGCATCATTTTACAACTGAGAATGTTCTGGTTTTATTATGAAAGAAACTGGTTCTTCATAGTAATTACTTTTTAACCTACAGAGGATTCAACTTTTTTTCCTTGATTTAAAAAAAAATGAATTTGATATTGTGTAAGGTGTCCAGCTTACTTTGATACATTTATATATTGCAACATAACTGCCAGCCATGGAGTGATATTTATCACATTACATAATTATAGCATAACATTATCTATATTCATTATACCATGCATTAGGTCAGGTTTATTACTTCTTACAAATTTGTACCCTTAAATACCACCACTCCTCTCTACCTCCCTCACCCCTGGTAACCACCATTTTACTTTTTTTTTTTTTTTTTTACATCTTTAACTTTTTTAGATTCCACATATAAGTGGTATTCATCTAGTACTCATCTTTGACTTATGTTGCTCAGCATAATGGGCTCAAGATCCATCCATGTTGTTGCCAATATTGTTGCCATCTTCCTTTCTCATGTACAGTTTAACTTTTTTAACACGTCTCTTGTTTACAGGACCAAATTTGTGTTGTGGCCTTATTAAATATAAAGATTCATACACTGGTGTCTCCTTGTTTTTCTTTATTTTCACCTAGTTAATTTACTGTGTATCTTATGCGTCACTCTACGAAAGACTCAACAAATCCTTTTTTGGAACCAAGTGGGATACAAATAAATGACTAATATTATAGAGACAAAATCTTCTGTGATCTCATACTCTTCCAAAGGCAACTCTGGAGTTGCAGAAATCTCCTCCAGGGACTCTTTCTGTTACCTACTTCAAGTTTAAGACTTGTACGATCTGGAGAAATCAGAGTGCACACCTAGAATACTAGACAAGGATTCTAGAACTGCATCACAATCCCAGATCCAGATTTCCCCCTAAACTATAAGGAATTCTAAAACATGTTGAATGGATAAGTATATGTGACAAACTAGAAGCCAAAAATCAAAACCCTACCTTGAAAGTCACAGTAAAAGTCATACCTGAGTATAACCAACTATTGTGAATTAAAGCAGGTCATTTTAAAATTTTGCTGTTTTAGGAATCTAGTATGTTTTATGTGGTATTACAACTGACCTCAAGGGTAATTATTACCAATGGTATTTCTAAACTACTCCAAAACCTATACTAGTGGTAAAAACTTTATGTTGAGGCTATTCACATTTTCTCCTTCCCTCAAGAGGTACCTTTTAGATGCAGATAAATATAAACAACTTGTGACTGAGCACTGTTTTTTTCCCTTGATGGGAGCTTTTTATATTTAAAACATACTTGAAAAACATACTTTTCACCACCAAACTACCTGTTTGGCATTAATAGAATACTGGAAAACTCTAACCCAAAATATTGACACATATTTGCTTAATGCCACTTAGGAATCAGCAGGTTACTTAGGAACTGAGAAGTAATTTCAAGGATTTTACTGCTGAATCCTCAACTAAAATTTTATTTCCTTGAACTAAATAAAACATATGCAGATCCATTTAAAAAAATAGTCACCCTGTGAGGCAAATTCAAATCTGCCAACCTAGTTTTAGTCTAGAACCAAACCAGCAACAAATATAGTCAGCAATACAATGCTACCAGGTTAACTTTCACGATGGTTCTTTGTAGAATAAATGAGAGAAATACGGCGTCAGAGTACCAGTGGGAACAATTTTCTTCCTAACCCAAGTCAGCCACTGGTAATCTTGTCCTAGTTGGCTCACTAGATTCCTGTGTGCTTCTTCATCTTCGAGAAAAAAAAAATCTTACCATCAGCTCTTATTTCAGACATGTCAGGTAACTATTTTCCCACAAATACTTTAAGCTCATCATTACTGGGAAAACAAAAAAAACTGTCCCCAAGACTTTTAGTAATGAATGAGTACACAAACAACATCTGGATATTAATTCCATGGTGCAAGGATTTCCTGCAAAGTACCTTTAATATGTTTGCATCGGCAGCAAGCATTAGGATGTGCTAATTTTGGCACCATCGGTTATATGTGTAGCACTACACATTCGATAAAGTCACCCCAACCAGTATTTATCCATGTGAATAGAAAAACTGAACAAAAACATAGTTCTGATAAACGCTGAATTCTTAAACCCAATACAGTTTAATTTTCTTCCACAATCGAGGGCTGCTATTTAGGATTGTTTTGTTAATGATAAATAAAGACAGGAATTATTTAGAAAATAAAGTACTTCACCGTTCTTATATATTAAATGTCTTGCTATATAAAATATACCCTCAAGAAGTCAAAGTATGTGAAATCAGTGTTTCAAATAAAAATCACAGCTATGTTACTGTTCAGCAACTCCATTCAAATAAACATCAGTACTGTATTCTCAAAAAGAAAAAAAAAAACCTAAAAACCAAAAAAAAAAAAAAAAAAAAAAAAAAAAAAAAACCAGTAACTGAGGCAAAAGCTTTTAAGTTTGCATTCTGGGTGTACAACAGAAACCCCTCACCCTGCATCCTTTAAGACCGCCAGTCTGCTTCAGTAATTTGAATCTGCCACTTCTTCAATATGTAAAGCACTGTGCTGAGAATATAAAAAGTTATAAAAAGGCAATCATAAAAGATTAAATCTTGGTAGGCATGTCAGCTTTCTTTTAATAAAAACAAAAATAGTCATTGTCATCTAGTTAAATAAGTCTCTTTTGTATAGTGTTCCAGTTATTGAAAAAGGGCCCTTAAAAAACCCAACTGCCTCGATCTTAAACCTTACCCTCTTGCCCCATAATACATGTTTGAGGGAAGAGTCATTAATGTGCAAATTGGCAAAACAAATGTGGAGGAGAGGGGACTTCTTGAAATGACATGCCCGATCAAGTCTTGGTTTATTCTTTTACAATATCAACTTCCAAAAAGTAAAATAACCAAAGTAGTCCTAAAAATACACAAAACAGACCTTCATCTTTGCATTCCTTTCCCAATAAACACAAAAAGTATGTACAGCATGTTTAATAATATGCAATATGCAAAAGCTTTGTGTTGCTGTTAGCAACATCTATACCCACCCACCCTCCTTATTCACAAGTGTACCTCTACTAAACACAATTACATCACTAAGCCTGTTAGTTTGTTAAAACTGGAAAATCTTTGTATAGGGGCTCCACTCATTTGACTCAAAGTTATAGACTTCCACCGTATTCAGAAATTCATTGCCATCAAAGCCTCCCACTGCATAAATGGTGTTCCCTACAGTTGTAATCCCAGCGTTGCTCCTTGGTGAAGTCATGTTTCCCATCATCTTCCATTCATTTCTAGTTGGGTCATACATCTCCACACAACTGATGGCATGAGAACCATCAAAGCCACCACCTACAAACAATTTTCCTAAAAGAGAATGAAACAAGGTAAATCTAGAGAAGGAAAAAAACTCCTAAGTCTTTTTTGCTAAAATTGGTGGTTCTTAGTAGAAATACCTGCTCATTCTACCAAAAGTCCTTGTTAAATGCCTTCCTAACGCGGCAAGTAAACCCATTCATAGATGGAACTCAGGCAATTTACAAAGAGAGGGGCAGCCTCTAACTGAAGCACAATTCTCACAATTCTTTGCGGTAACTGCTACTGCTGCCATTTCACAGATGAAATGAGGTGCAAAGAAGTTGAACAACTTGCCTAAAGAAGCAGCTAGTATGCAGCAAGCCAGAGTAGTTCTGTGCACTGGAGATTCTGTACTAGTCCAGTGCCTCAGAATTAAGATTCAAAAAAAAGTTATAGAAAAGCAGTTTTCAGATACTGAACATTTTCTTGAGCTTTCCAATTCTATAAAATTAGTTTAGTACAAAAACTTCTTGGAAACAGACCAAGAGTTATTACATTTTCAAATATATATGCAGAGCAGTTAATTATTTTCAGACACATAAAATGTCAGCATTAAATACTGTGTAGTTTTAAATTTTTTTTAAAAAAAACATTTATTTAGCTTTGAGAGAGAGCGCATGAGTGGGGTCGGGGCAGAAAGAGAAGGAGACACAGAATCTGAAGCAGGCTCCAGGCTCTGAGCTGTCAGCACAGAGCCCGACAAGGAGCTCGAACTCACGAACCGTGAGATCATGACCTGAGCTGAAGTCGGATGCTTAACCGACTGAGCCACCTGGGCGCCCCAATACTGTGTAGGTTTAAAAACTTCCATCCTCTTGGGGCCCCTGGGTGGCTCAGGCGGTTAAGCATCCGACTTCAGCTCAAGTCATGATGTTACGGTTCGTGAGTTCGAGCCCCGCATCGGGCTCTTGTGCTGACAGCTCAGAGTCTGGAGCTTCCCCCTCTCTCTCTGCCCCTCCCCTGCTCACACTGTCTGTCTCTCTCTCTCTCTAAAATACAACAAACATTAAAAAATAAAAACTTCATTATTTTCTCATTTGATTGTCCAAAATCTATCTACAACCACATATTTACAGAAGAAATGACAAGGCTCAGCGTGGGCTGCGGGCTACTTGCTGGCATGTCTACACATCTATACGTTCAGCAGGTGAGCCATAAGCTTAACTAAGAGTCCACTTTGTTCCCAAGACAATGCTAATTAAACTCATTATGATAATTATATAATTAAACATGTAAATCAATACAATGAATGTGAAAAGAAAGCTGCATCCATATAAAACTAACTTTGGAAAGATCTGTTAAAAAAAAAGCCTTAAGTTTTCCTTCCGATTAGGTATGGAGTAGACAGAAGAGACTAGAATCTAGGTGATTTGCACTTATTTTGCTTTGCAAGTCAAATCCATTAAATTCTTGCTCTAAAGGAACAAACTGGAACTCTAAGATGATACATTTTGCATATGGTTTATGGAAGGAAAGGACTTAGAGAACTTCATTCAGTGAACCCATCAAAAGACTAGTGTGTTAATATATTTATATTATTACTTCAAGTACCGAGTCTGATTAGAAATGACTTCTAAAAGATAAACCACCAATGCCCACTGCATCAGAAAAAATGTCTGCTTCTGACTTCTTATTATACAAGTGTTTAGTTATCATGGACATTCTCTGGGAATATTAGAACAAACTCTTGCCACTCCCTATTCTTCACCTTTCCAAATCTCAACACTCACCATCAAGAACAGCTACACCAGCTCCTCGCCTTGCCACGTTCATGGGTGCAATTAAGGTCCAGGTGTTATTTTCAGGATTGTAACGTTCTACTGTGTTCAGACAATTCCAAGACTCTGCACCTCCGATTATGTACAAAAAACCACCAAGCTCACAGACTGCAGACTGGTGTCTACCTATAAAATCGAGTCAAACCAAAATTACTTTATCTCCCAAAACTTTAAGTGCGCATACTACACATAATTGATTTTGAGATCTTAAAAAAACAAAAAAACTTGAGGGGAAAAAAACCCAAATCAACTCACGAATGTTAAGAGGAGCACAGCTTGTCCATGACTTTGTTATAGGATCAAATACATCACAGTTTTTCAGTCCTTTTTGACCATATGGATCAGAGCCACCAACAATGTATAATTTCCCATTCAGAGCGCATACTCCTATATGAGTATAAAATAAGGTTATATATTGATAATTTAATTACCATATTTAAATACTGATTATCTCAGAAGGAAAGTAATTTTACCTGCGTTACAACGGTTAGTTCTCAATTCTGGAACAGGAATCCAGTCATCTATGTTTGGATCATACATCTCTCCACAACTCAGGTCATCCGAATGGCCATTCGATCCACCTACCACATAGAGCTGGCCCTAAGTCAAAAGTACAAGATCAGAATTTCTGCCATTCTGAAGTTATGAGAAACAACTAAACATGGATTGCTTCTTCCTTACCATGAGTACAGCCATCTGAAATCGAGCTCTTGGTGTTCTCATGGGAGCAAGAAAGGACCAGTGATCTGTACGTGGATCATAGCATTCAACTGTTCGAAGACATTCCTCTCTGTTATAGCCACCTGGTAAAAGAACCATCAAGATTCATGTTTAAGATCTCAAACCACATGAGGGTTTCTTGTCTAGAATGATTTAGGTAATCTGCACAAAGAGAAAAAGAATTTTTATCCATAAACCTATTAAGGTCCCATTAGGTGATGTTTTAACTCAGGGCTTCTAACAGCCGAACAACATTATCAGTATGAGTAAATTGCTTAGTCTTGGCTTGAAAATTAGGATGGAACAATTTAACGACTTTATAGTTTTTTAAGAATTAGAAACAGACATTAACTTAAAGGATAGGCAATACAATAGTATTTACTTTTGTATTTCTTGGTCTTTTTAGAATGTGGTAAAGTAGAATGCCAAGGAAGAAGGCATATTAAACCCTCCCTTTCCAAAGTTCACATCAAAGCAAGCACAAATGTCCATGCAGGGGCTTAGCCAGTTGAAACTTTCCAATAAGAAAACACTCATCCTTCTGTTCTTACCTGCTGCTATGAGCTTGCCATTCATCTCTGCTGTCCCCAGACCAGACCGCGCATACTGCATGGGAGACATGGGCTTCTCTATCAGCTCATCTGGTTGCATCTCAAAGCTTAAACTTTTAATTAGTTTTGGAGTACTTGTTGGTGAGCTCTGTGGGCTGTTTCGCCCGTGAAGGAAAATTACACAGAATATACCATCCAGCACAGCCAGGCACAAGTAAGTGTTATCTGTAAGCATAAGAGTTCTATGTTTAAGATGCAATTATTACTACTTTTGTTTGCTGTGTGATCCTGACTTGGATTCCGGATCCCAGACTGGAACGATCTGCTACTGTTTTCCAAATCTAATGGCTTCTGAGTTTTTCCCACAAATAGTCAACTTCAAAGTTATTAAATGGTTCCACTCAACACTCTTCTTTAAAAATAAGTCAAAGACAATCTGATGAGTGTAATACACTTACTTGAAGTCTTTTCCGAAGCAACGATTTTCCATTCATGCTTAGGGCTTTGTACTGTAGCATTTGGAGAAGAGAGACATCCAGTGGAACTGCTACTTATCGGCTTATGGCCATTCTCACGTGGTGGCTTTTTCTGCAAAATCAAAAGGTAGCTACAGAAACCTAGCCAAAGACCATACCTGGTGTACCTCTGTTCCTGAGCTATTCCACAACACTGAAAAAACACCTAGAATCCTTCACTTATGTATGACATTTAAAGCACCCTAAATTTAACACAAACCAACACTTTCCAATTGACACAAATTACTAGCATACTTCCATCTTCACTTATAATGAAACAACTACACCTACACAAGGAGCCTGGTCAGGAAAAGCTCAATTTAAGCAATTAAAAAGCAAGTTGTAGATCAAGTATGAGAATACCTCAATGGAAAAAAAAAAAAAAAAAAAAAAAAAAAAAGAGAGAAAAAAAAAACCCTTAATCTACATAAGCTCAAAGTTCACATACTCTTTATATGGAGTATAGAATCATCTTTCAAAAGAGATTATTAATTTAAAATGGTATGAATTATCTGAAAGATTACATTTAGCCCACTGTCTCCAAGAAACTATCAAACCTAATTAAATCATATGTATGGATATCCTTCATACAATGCCAGCAAAAAGTGAGCAGACATATCCAGTTCGGTCCCTCTGAAAAGTATCTCTCAGGACAAAAGTTGCAGTTACAAGAAACACTTAAAAGCATATTTCTTCAGGACCACCATATAGGTATTATAGAGTGCTTTTCTAGACAAACCATATCAAAAGACAAAATATGGTAATCAGAAATAAAACAATAATACTAAAAGAACCAAACATTCACAAAAGTAGTATAGGAACACTCAGAGGGAGAAATAGGCAAAGCTACAAATTTTCAAATGATAATAAAAGAATTATATTGTGTTCTTGTGTAGGAGTTCCCTTTGATGGTTTTCTTATGTTATTAGTCCTTGACACTTTTAAAGTATATGATCATATGGCATTAGAAGAGTCAGAGACATCCTAAGAGGACCTACCAAATGAACAGGTACCACCCCCACTTCAGTACCTGACGCCAAGTGTGCCGATCCACTTCTTTTGATCCCCAGGGCCAAAGCCACATGGGTAGCTAAGATTTATAGTAGAAATTTGTTTCTTATGGAACCAAAAAGCTATGTTAACAACTTAGAGGAAAAAAATTTGGTAGCTACTTAAAGCTGTGAAAAAACTATCAGAAGTTTGGTGTGGGCCAGTCAACAAGCATGGTTATAGCATATGTTGGCTATTTTGAGAAAAGGCAGAGAATGTACCATGTTAATGGTTACCATTAAATTCTATTTTGACATTTATCATATACCTAGGTATAATTAGGCACTTTATTCACCTCATATCTTTTAATGGAGTAAGGGCAATGCTGTTAATCCATTTTATCGATAACAATAAGAAAAGAGATGTATTGCCTAAGGCAATACAACTAAAAGAATAGAAATTCTGAGTATAAAGCCACTCTTTTTATACTATGACAGATTTTTGTCTCTGCTACTAGAAACTCCAAGGTACATAAAACCCCATCCCAACCTGTGGGAAGAAGGGATCCAAAGTATCACAAATTGATGATGCCATCAAAGGAACTCCTATACAAGTACACAATGTAATTCTTTTATAATCATTTGAAAATTTGTAGCTTTGCCTATTTCTCCCTCTGAGTGTTCCTATACTACTTTTGTGAATGTTTGGTTCTTTTAGTATTGTCTTATTTCTATTTTTTATTTTTGTCTGATATGGTTTGTCTAGAAAAGCACTCTATGATACCTATATGGTGGTCCTGAAGAAATACACTTTTACGTGTTTCTTGTAACTGCCACTTTTGTCCTGAAAAATACTTTTCAGAGGAACTGAATTGGATATGTCTGCTCATTTTTTGCTGGCATTAAGAGCTTTTATTATAGTAACAAAACTGTTCTAACGTATGGATTATAATTGAAAAAAATCAATGTGAAAGAGGAAAGCATGATTAACAATGAAGACTACTAGTGTTTTATAACTAACAAGTCATACAGAGGTGCTGGTTAACGCCTTTATATTCCTTCTGGAACATTTTCAAATACAATCCCTTCCTCTCCCTTGTCTTCACTTTCCTGTATTAACTCCTCCCACGCGCTACCCACTGGCCCCACTTTCTTTGCCTCTGGCTCCCCAGGGAGTAATCTCCGGTGGCTATTTCTTTTTCAACCACTATTACTTCTCAAGCTAAGATATTCTTAACTTTACACTCTTTGGAACTTATACCCACTAAAGGTTACCAAGTGCCCTCCCAAAACCAGTGAAGAGATACCCATAACCATATTTTACATGACCTCCAAAAGAATGATCTGACACAATTTAGTCTTCCTCTGTTCAAACTTTCTCTGCTTATGTTAGCTAGCTTTCTAACATAATTTGATTCTAATCTTCTCCTTCCTAATGGCTCCTCAACCTCTTTTCCTATTTCTCAAGCCTAATGTGTCCCCTCATCCTATTTTATTCATGATCTTTATCCAGGGAACCACCTTCTAATGAGTCACATCAGAATCCTGCTTTCTCAAATTCTTCCTTTTCCTTAATTTTCTTATTCTAAACAATCACTAAGGACTCACTCAACCTTTGAAACTATAAATGCTTAGAGTCCACTTTTCCTCCTTCATGCTCCTGGATCAAGCCCTCATTTTTTTTTAACTAAACTACTGCTTGTAGTAATCTATAAATTGGTCTCACAATTGGGTCTACCCTCTGTACTTGGCCAGAAAAAGAGAAGGGCTTAACGCAATCATTTAGTAAAGAAAAACAAAACGCAACAAACCACAGATCAGCTGGAGTCCCATGACCCAGAGATTGCCACCTAATAGTTAACCACGGGTCTAAAATGATTAAAGTACAGATCTTTGCTGTACAGAAATACAGTATTTAACCAATGCCCCTACTGTTGGAACTACTGCTCAGTTTTTCACTATTATTAAAGTTGTGAAATATATCTGTCCAGGGGCCCCTGGGTGGCTCAGTCAGTTAAGCATCCAACTCTTGACTTTGGCTTAGGTCATGATCTCGTGGTCATGATGTCAGGCCCTGTGTGACGTCAGGCTGTGAGCACAGAGCCTACTTGAGATTCTCTCTCTCTCAAAATGAACATTAAAAAAAAAAAAAAAGGAAATAGATCTGTTCATGTCACTCTACTTCCTTGTCTACAATTCTTTGAAAATTCCCCACCACCTGTAGGATAAAGTATTAAGCCCTAACCCAGTGGCATTTACCTACTTTCCCAATCTTGTGACCTCGCACGGGTATTTTTTGCTATCTGACACACTCTCATCTGCTTTGCAAGCTCTTCTAAATCCTAAGACTGTTCACATGTTGCCTCTTCTGTAAATTTCCTTAGTTTCTCTCCTCTTGGCTCCTCTATCCCTTCCCCTTTATGCCTTTTGTAGATCCCTCTTATAAGACTGTACGGTTTTCATCTACTGCTATAGATGGTTCTGCAACCAGAAACTGTCTCTTACATATTTCTGTGTCCTAACATCATGGTCTGCCATTTTACTCAACGGCTGCTTACTGAAAAACAAAAAACAAAAAAAAAAAAAAAAAA